ACCGGCCGAATATTTATTTTTTAGTCTACCGATTACTTTGAAGATTTAATTGGAAGAAGTTCGGGAAACGAACGTTGCGTCTTCATTGTTTGGGGAAATGTCTGATGTTAAATTTTGTGGCTGAAAACCCTTAGTGAGATCGGCAGCAATTCTCCAAAAGTATTGATTAATGAGACTGTTGCCGGATCGTTCACATTTCTATCGTTATCTTTTATAACATCGTTTTCTACAAGGTTTCTAGTTGATTTGAACTATTTTTTACTATAATCCACATTGCTTTTGTTTTATGATTTGAGTTCAAAATATCCTGATCATGTTTCATGATTCATTAGCGACCACAATTGCGAGTAACGGTATGGTAACTATGAGGATGACATGACATGATAGGGGGAGAAAGGACGAATACAATGCAACCATGCCCGCGGGCGGGACTCGAACCCCAATCCTTGTCGGAGATCACTACTGCTTTAGCGATCTCGGCCATCCGGACCGGTATCACTGCACATTGTTTTGCTTCGGAGAGAAAAACAGAGCTATTAGTATACTCAGTGCAAGTGAAAACTGAAACACCAAGGTCTGAAGATGTATTAATAGCCCTCCATAAATATAAAGTAATGCCATCTTATGTTCAACAATATTCTTGACGGTCCACTTAAAATCGCGGGGAAAAGCCTACACGTTCGATGATTTCCTTCTCCTATATTATTTCAGTAGTAGCAGTTCACCTTTTGCGGCTCATAGCGCAACCAATCTTTATAAATGAGGTTTCTAAAAAAAGAGAATTTCAGGGAGACGTGACGAATTGCACTTTGACTTTAAAAATATGAAGAATTTGCTGAAAACAAACAAACGCACCCGTATTCATGTCAAATGCAACACTCTGCAACATTGTTAAAATCTGTATAGTTACATAACATTCAAACAGCGTTCTAGGGCCTTAAAATCTGGAATTGTGAGGCTAAAGACCTCAAACGCTCAACGCTCCCAATCTACAAGAAGAGGAATTTTTAGACATTCTCTACATTTTCGCTGGTCCGGCGCTACTCACTGTGATATTAAACTAATTATTTCATATTCTATGTGATGGAATCGTACGAGTATACTTCTAGTTCTCTGATCGGCAATAAATTTAAATAATATTGGAATTAGTGGTGTTACGGAATGACACTGACTTTCTGGTATTAATTTCCTACTTCCTTTGGTCTCGGCTAGCTATTCGAACTTGCCACATACTCTTGCTAGCTGCCATCTTTCGCTGCCCAAAGTACATTAAAAAATTTTATAATTTAAATTTTGTTTACATTTATTCCCCAAAATTGTTATTTGTGTCTATGTCATATTTATCCCAAGATTTATGAGCACTGATTAAATCTAAAATATTTTGATTCGATGGTTGGCTGCTAAGGGGCTAAGCAAGTGATTACCAATGTAAATAACAAATCTTATTTGTAGGTTACACATTTTTCATGCCATCAAATTCAATACTATAGTAAGTAAATACTTATTTTTAAGTTGAAATAAATTTTTAAGAAAATGATCACATGAACTCATGATTTTTAATGTAATTGGGAGTCTACATATTATTTAACAAAAATAATTATTATTAACAGCACTATTTGTGCAATGTACAATTTTAGTCTATACATTTATGATTCCCTTGTGTTCATTCAAAAAGTATGCAGATTATCACTAGCCCAAGAAAGGTGCTTCTAAAATGGTATTATTTTATACGTTATCAAATAAGTCCATAAAACCTCAAGAATTAATTGAAAATGATTGTTTACAAGTGGGCTTTGGAAAAGAACACACTATTCTATAGTGACTTCTACCTACATGACTGTTCGGAGATGAACTTTGATTGGCTCCCCTTAGGGATTAGGCGGCTGCCTGTCTCGTCTTCTTCCTCCTGTTGGGTTGTGCTGCAGCACTTGTTTAGGTAGCCTATTATGCTCCATTCTTTCTAAATGTTTTTTCCAGTCCTATTTGTATAGTTGTATACAATCATTTAGACTAAATATATTTAATTCTTTTCTTATATTTTCATTTCTTTGTTTGTCTAGCAAAGTACAACCTTACTCTCCTTAAAAATTTCATCTCTGTAGCTTGAATATTCAATTTTTCTTTTGAGAGAGAACCCAATTTTCACTCCCATACAGGACTACTGGTGTTGCCATTGTTTTGTAAAATTTTAACATAAGTGTCTTTTCTAGTCTTATTTCTTAATGTTCTATGTAGTGTGCTGCAGATATATTGGAACTTATGCAATTTTTTTTATATCTTGGCTCCAATCGTAACTTATATCACATCTCAGATAATTGAAATGTGACATTTGTTCTATTGTTTGGTTTTCCAGGCATATCTTTGCTCTAATTGGATAGACTCCTTTAAAAGCCATGACCTTTGTTTTTTGTTTTGATATTTTCATGTTATAATTTGTTCATATTAGATTATAGGAATTGAGTGGAGTGCATTTGGTAGATCATTTTTCCTTTTCATACATAATAACTTGGAATCAGCAACAATTAGCCAGAGATATTGGTGGATTGATTATCAGATTTAGTGTTCGTATAAGAGTTCTGACGCCTTGTTTGTACTTTAATTCGCATTCTCTAAGAATATAGGGTCGTATATAGATGTTACAATAAATGAGGAAGAAAGGGCTGCAAACTTTGTTTTTGAAGTGCCTGTGTCTAGTTGTGTAAAGGATTGTTATGAATTAATTTTTATTCGGATTTTTGTATTTTTATATACAATTTTAGCTACAGAACGTAGATTTTCCGGGCTGGTAGGCCGTGGTCCAGTTGGCATACCACGGCCTACCAGCCCGGAAAATCTACCTTCTATTGGCTCCGGCCGTGAAAGCCTACAATACTATATGATTTTAACTAGGTTTATTAAATGTTTTAGAAAGCCTCTTCAATCCATTATGGCCCATAATCTTCTCCTGTTTACACGGTCGAAGGTTTTGTTAAAATCAATGACTGCAATGTACGTGTCTAAATTAAACTCTCTTCTTTTCTCTATTATTTGGTTCAATATAAAAACATCATCTGTGCAGGATTTTTCCTTTCTGAAGCGATTTTGTTCTTTTAACAATATAACTTCAGCTATTGTATTAATCCTCTTTTGGATCATTTTACTGTAGATTTTATATGTTGTGTTTAAGAGGCTAATACCTCTATAATTTTCACAGCTACTTCGATCTCTCTTTTTAAACGCAGATATTATTAGGGCTGTTTGCTATTCTTCTGGTATCATAATTTTAGCCAACATTGATTATATAAATGTAACAGTCTTAAATGGAGAAAAGTGCTTCCATATTTTAGTAATTCTATGTTTATATTATCTATACCAGTAGCTTTTCTACATTTCATTTATTTTAATACTTGTAATAATTCTATTATTAGTGGATTAATATTATCTTTCTTTAGTTCTTCATGTCCTTCCCTTTCTTCCAGTGGGTTGAATCATAGATTTTTATAGTGTTGTAGCCATTTCTCTTCACCTATAACTTTCAATTGAACGGTGTGTTTTTCTTTTTGATTAGGTTGTCTCAATACTTTATAGGCTAGTACTTGCTTCCCATGAATATCACTTTCTATTCTATTTATGAAGGTATCCCGTTCCTCCTGATGTGCTATACGAGACAGCCTTTTGGCTTCATTTCTATAGCAGTTATATTCTTTCTTTGTTTCTTCTTTTTGTGTTTGAAGATATTTCAAGTATGCTTTCTTTTTCTCTGCCACTGCTTCTTTAAATTGTTCATTCCATACTCTGAGTCCTTTCCTTTTTCTTTCCTGGGCTTTCAAAAGCTGTTTTTTGTATGCAGGTTTTAATATTTTCCCATTCTTTCACTACTTTATTGCTTGTTGGTATATTTCCTAGGTAATTATCTAGTCTCTGTTGATATAGCTTTTTAATACTCTCTTCTTGTAGCGGATATACTTTAAAACCTTCTTCTACATTGTTTTTATTTTTGGGGCTTAGATTTTTCCATCTACTTAGTAATTTAATAGTAGAGACAACCAAATAATGATCTGGGTACATATCTCTGCCTCTATAACTCTTGTATCTTGAATTAGGGTTGATAAGTTCTCGTTAACTATAACTCTATCACTGATTATCTAATAAATTCATTAACATGCTCACATGGAGAGTTCTGTACATAATATAGGCCATGGACACACTGTGAATTTTTTTCAGGAGGGCAGTATGTAGGAAACTTCTAGAATCCTATTGTCTATAAAGAACAACTATTTCCTATTAGAACCATAAATTCTAAAAATGTTGGGAGGAGTGGGGGAAGGCTGTTTGCTAATGACCACTTAACCCTGTCTTCCTTTATTTACATGCAATAACCTGGTAAACAATATAAGTATAATTACTTCTTTTGCAAAAACATATTGCCATTTATGGTACAAATTAATGGCTCAGGAAGAAATGGGTAAACATCTACTACATTATTCAAAATATCAAATTAAATAAGAAAGAGTGTCTTAATGTGTTTCCACTAGCTCTGATGATTCTACATTTTAATTTAAATTGATCAACAGCAAGATTTCAATGATTTAAATCACGTTTTAAATCACATGCTTCACCAAAAAAATCATCTACTTAAATCAAAAATATATTTTCTTGTAAATTTGACAAAGAATCATTAAAAATTTGAAGGTGAAATGAAAAGAAACCATATGCAACCCCAAAAATTTTAATGAGATATTAATATTTTTTCTCATTATTTCCAGAAAGTTGCCTAAACAAAAGAATTTAGGAAGACTTCACCTATCCACAGTCTCTGAGTTATTTTACTGTCTACTGAGCTCTTGATTGTGCCAAATGTGAATACTTAAATCTAAATAATCTGATTTAGATTTAAAAAATCCGATTTAAATCAATAAAATCTTATTTTTTAATTTTTTTTAAAGTCAAGTTTAAGTATAATAAATTAATAAAGTACTGGTGCACAAGTGAAAATTGAAATATAATATTAAACCACTTACAGAATTTACAGTACGCACAGCTGTTGTAATAATGCAATTGTATCCAATAGCTGCAAAACAACAATTATTTATTCAACTGGGTACATCAGAACAAATAGTTTACAGCATTTATTGAATTAAAAAATCTTAACTTAAAAGATACTCTTACATAAATTAATTCTTGGAATAGCCAGCGAATGCCATATTATTCTTAAATTTGTTACAATTAAACGTCCCACATCACCCCCATTTCCTTTTGTATCTTCTATAGAATCCATTCTATCGAGAACTTTTTCACCAGGTCTCATTTTCAATTTACTAAACATTTGAAAACAGATTTAGTATGAAATATTTAAAACAATTTTGGTACGATTATTATCAAAAAGTAAAATACATACAACAGTGATACATCAAACATTACTTCTTTATCTTCCCACAATGAATCACCCATTTTCGAAGAAATTGCCCAGAGTTTATTGATTGTATGGATGTGTATTAGTAACACACACAAAATACATTTAACAATAACACTTATCCCATGCGGCAGTATAATGGATATGTAAATCACCGTACAGTATCGAAATGAAATTTGTGTTGTGTAAATTAAACTTGGGATTAATTATTTTACAAACTTAATGCAAATGATCAAGAACACTGAATAAACGTAGTATTTGAAAACTGCGTTTAGGTCAGCAGACTATTTACTTAACAGGTTGAAAATTGTAGGAAATTAATTGGGTATCACGGTAACAAGCCTAAAATGTTATTTCCAATATCTTTGGACGTAACGAACTTCAGCTAAAGTTTCCAGGACGTTTGCTTGCTTCGCGGTTGTCGTATACAGAAAGCGTACTGTCTATGGTGGAAATAACAAGGTAAAGCGATGCGCATGCCGCCGACTGTGGACCAATAAGAGTATATTCTGGGTACAGTGCGGCAAATTCAAATTATCTAAACAGCCGTGGCCATTTGAAAGTTATTTAAAATAACAATATTTATCATTAAAATTGCCCTCTTAATTTACTTAATACCATAAATATTAGTACTTTGGTGATATTCATCAATTTGTTCGCAGTTTAAATACTTCAGGTCTGATGTACAAAAAGTATGAACAAATACAATGACTTGACCTAACCTAACATTAAGTACTTGGCCACATTATTATAATCACTTTTCAATCACATTTCCTTTGAACTTAAGTTTTCTATTATTTTGAGGTATGTGTTCCTCATGTTTTTCTCTCCTATTTATGGGCGTTTTGAGACAGTTTGTCTCTGAATAAGTGTTGAAAAATTAGTGTAAAGGGACAAAAATATTATGGCTTTTTGCAGCGTACAACATTGAGTCACATTTACTTTTTTAAAAAATTGTATCTTCGAGGCAATCTAATTTGGTGTTTTTATGCAGTCGAGGAAAATGTAATGGTGTATTTAGTTTCTTTGATTTATTTGAGATTTGTCATGAGAGTGATCAAAAGGCTGCATTGAGTTTGGACAACTTTTCATATGAAAGATAACTAGAAAAATAACAATAATTAATAACTTAAGTATATCAGACAAAATCAGCAGAAATATTCGAATTTTTTCCGTTAAAGATACCTGATAAGAATTCCTATATGTGAAGTACAGAAGATGAACAAGAGTTATTTTTTGTGTTTGTAATTTTGAATTATTATAATGTAGCCAGGTACTGTAAACACTCAATTTCACACTTTTATTTGTATTTTGATAATTCCTTAACATAGTTTCCGATTTGCTTTCATGATTGCTATGACTGTTTAAAGATCTGAAGAATGAAATCTATTGATTTTTAATGGACAGGATTCTTGTCATATACTTAATAGAATAAAAAGAAGCTCATTATTTAAAAACATTAAATTTAATTGTATGTTGATACTTGATTTATAAAATTGTTGAATTATTTCAAGTGTATCCACACAGAACATACAGGGAAGAAAATGTAGCGAACTTGAAATAAAAAGAGATGTAATACATTATGAACTGGCCAGAAATCAAGCTTTACAGCCTATCTATTTTTGTTTAATATATAATTCATAAAAATATAGTATATGTAATAAATTAATTATAATTACAATACAAATTAAGAATCACTTAAAAAGGAGCCAAAGACAGTATTATATTTGTGATGTTTTTGAATTTATTTGTTCACAAATGTTTATAAATATTTTAACTATTTGGAGAGAATTTATAGAAATGTAATAATTATATTAAAAATTTAAGCCATTGGATATTTTTAACCTCACTTTTAATCATACTCTTATGCAAAGTGTCATGCCCAAAAATGAAAGCAGACCTTAATAAGTTAAGAGGAATGGATCAAATAAAAGTAATTTTGAAACCATATAAAAATAGTTTAAAAATGTAACAAGTTACATTTATAAAATACATGTCACATTTAAATATCCCAATGGGTGCACGTCTATACAAAGAAATATTAAATACAAAAGAATCAAAAGTGGCTAAAAATTAAATACAGTGAATTATTTTATTTCTGAATATAGAAAATATATCGGTTTTAACTTTTATCTAAAGTGCTTTATGAATGGAAATGAAAATTTTATTGATTTAGTTTAATTTATTTAATTGATCAAGAGAAATATAACAATTTATAAAAAAATCATTAGCCTTTTTAACTCCTTAACTCCTAACATTAGCCTTATTTTATTATGGAGACAATTCATGCTATACATGTTTTACGAGTACGCACAAATCTCATCTTCGCACGAGTTTGCACAAATCATTCTACGCACGAGTTTGCACAAATCTCATCTTCCCTGAAAGAAAATATTATTTATTATGTCTTAATTAGTACATTAAAACATGTTTGTTATTAAAGTCAAGTCATATAAGTCAATGTTTCAAAAAGGAAAAACACAATCAGTGTTAATAATAATAATAATAATAATAATAATAATAATAATAATAATAATAATAATAATTGTTATTATTGATATTATTATTATTATTATTATTATTATTATTATTTAATTTCTAATTATTGTACTAAACATTTTTTGCATTTTGAGAATATTTTGGCAACACAACTCTGCATTAAAATATATTAATGTTAACATTTATATAGTACATATACAGTTATTAGTACATGGAAAAAATATACAAGCTGAAAACTAAATATGTTATCTAATCTATATGTTTATACTAACTCAGAAATAAAATTGTCGAATGAACTGCAGCAGTGATCAGTTTCACATATAGGTTTAAAGAATTCATTTATGTTTTGGTCTTATCAATTTCATTTCGACATTTCTCCCCTTTTCTTTTCGAATTTTTGCATATTGACTTCCGCTGAGCCTTTTTCGATAATCACTTATTTTAAAACTTCAAAATATCATTTTTACTCAGTATGCCCAATAAACGATACACAACAATAGTAACAAAAGAAAGAAGAGGGTTATTTCCAGATCCGTCAACTAGAACTAACTCAAGAAGTAATAGATGTCGCTACTTGCTATATGGCTCAATACGAATGCATGGCAAAGTTTGCCAGCGATTTCTGATTGGCTAATTCAAACTCCTAAGAATGTAATTCTTTCTGATCAATCAACCAATCAGAAGTCGTTGGCGAATTCTTTTCATGTATTCCGTAACATTGAAAATGTCCCTATTTGAAATTCAAACTTAATTTATAAATCAAAGGTTGAGGGGCAGGCTTTAGTCTCGCTTAAATCATTTTTAAAATAAAAATATGATTTACGCTGTTATAGTTTTTGGAGAACCTAAATTTGTTTTAGTAAATATCAACAAAATTTTGCGCCTTTGAAAATTTGCCGCCCTTGAAAATTTGCCGCCGTAGGCACGTGCCTACTGTGCCTATGCGAAAATCTACCTCTTCATCTATTACCCCTATTTCCTAATGCTATGATGTAGTAGTCGAGAATTTTTTCTATGCCCTTCCAAAATATTACAAAACCAAATCTACCATAAAAACTTTTCAAAATATGACATAAGCAAATATACACTATAACCCTTTCACCAATTTTACAATCATTCACATCACTAACTGTATACAGTTTTCCATTCTTCCGTGAAACTATATCCAAAACATATACATAAACTTTCTAATTTCTTTACACATTCAAGTTTTATTAATATACAATTTCTAGTCATCTTCTGCCTGAATATAATTATGCAAAGGTTCATACATTTATATGTTTTCCTGTAAGTCCGTCTTGCTTCACTCCTTCCTTTCACTTTGTTGTACAAACACACAATCATGAACTGTATTGGCACTTTCTTGACGCGCACTCGCATCACACGCGTTGCCGAGGGACGTACGTCTCTCTGCAAACCCCGACACTACCTGAAGCTGATTTCCGTACATACGGCTAAGAATGTCAGCGTTCACATTCTGACTATCCCTATGTTTAATCTTAATATTCAGATGCAGAATTGCCAATGACCATCGCATCAATCTGGGATTAATCGGCTTCTACCTTAGGCCGATATCGGCTTCTAACCATTAGGCAAACATTCCCATCTAAATAGTGCTTCAATCGTTGTAGCCCCCATATAATCGTTGCACATTTTTTCTCCGTCGCGCAATATTTCATCTCCGAAGGAGAAAACTTCTTACTGAGAAATAACAAGGGATTCTCATTCCATTCCTCATCTGAGAGAGTACAATCCCCGCTCCTCTGTCGCACTGCATTAAAAATATTCTGCTGAAACCAGGCGCATGAATGACCGGTTCACCGCACAGAGCTCCCCGCAGTTCAACAAATGCATTTTCACAATCTTGCGACCATGCTATTTTTCCTTGTCGTGTACCTACCCTTAACAAATCGGTGAGAGGCGCAGCCTTCTCCGAAAATCGCGGCACAAAACGCCTGTAAAAGGAAATTAATCCTCGAAATTTCCTAACTTCTTTTTTTGTATTCGGTCTCTGATATTCCCTAATCGCGCATACTTTTACTTCGTTCGGCTTCATAAGACCACTGCCAATCTCGTAGCCCAAAAACACTACGGTTCCGCGAGCAAACTTACATTTCGTCGGCTTACATTTCGCCTCCCTTAGTATTTGGAATACCGTGCGTAAGTAACGCAGGTGATCCGACCAATCATTACTGAAAATTGCGATATGATCCATATAAGGAATAGCAAATACCGAATAATCCTTAAGTAATGCCGCCATTAATTTACTACACATTTAAGGCGCATTCTTAATCCCAAAAGGCATACGTAGTGGTTTGTAGCTTCCAAAATTTGTGCAAAAAGTGGCATATCTCTGCGCTCTTTCCGCCATCCTAATTTGCCAAAAACTTTTGCTTAAATCACAAGTAGATATGATTTTCGCAGCTGCTACCGTTTCGATTCTCTCATCTAAACTAGGCAGTAGAAAATATTCGGTTTTAATAACTGTATTCAACCTCCGATAGTCATTACAGGGCCTAGGTTTCCTCCCTGGAGCTTCTACTAAAATCATGGGCGACGCGCAATCAGAATCCGAGCTTTCAATGATTCTCTTTACCATTTTAGGCATCTCCTCTTGGAAAATCTTACTCTGTTATATTGACGTGCGATAAGGCGCACTCCTAACCTTTGCCGTATTGTCAATCAATTCGATATCCATTTCTAACTTTTGGGTTAAACCTGGCTTATCAGAAAAAATGTCCCTATATTCTACAATTAATGCTTTTAATTTATCATACATTTCCATCTACAAGCATTGTCTTGGCATCGAAATTTCCCGCTTCTAGCTTTAGCGCATACTTATCGATCACGTCATCCGTTGCCTCATCTTCATTCCTACTCTCCGCAACAAAATTTACGTATTCCGTCTTTTGATGATACGCTTTCATCATGTTCAAGT